TACCTCCCATTTGGTCCCTCCCATGACATGTGAGGTTGTGGGAGCTACAATTCAAGATGAGATTTGGGTTGGGACACAGCCAAATCACATCATATGGCAAAGTTAAAAAGATTTATTTCATTATGGTCAAATACATGTAAAATTTACCATATAGTATTTTTTTTTCCTATGAGATTAAATTAAGACTTTGGAGATGAGATTATTGTGGATTATCTGGGTGGTCCCTTTAATGCCATCAGAAGTCTTTTTTTAAGAGAGAGGCAAAGGGAGATTAGACACCAAAGAGAAATGCAATGCCACCACAGAGGCAGAGCCTGGAGTGATGCAGCCACAAGCCAAAGGATGCTGGTAGCCACCTGAAGCTGGAAGAGGCAAGAATAGATTCTTGCTAGAGCTCCCAAGGGAAGCAAGGCCCTGCCAATGCCTTGATTTTGGGCCCAGTGAAATTGATTTCTGACTTGTGGCCTCCAGGACTGAGAAAACAAATTTCTCTTGTTTTAAGCCACCAACTTTGTGGTAATTTGTGATAGCAGCTGCAGGAAATAATATACTGCCCTTAGTCCCTTGCCACATGGGCTTCTCTATGTGGGCATGTCACAGCATGGCAGCTGGCTCATCCAAGTGAGCAAGCAAGAAGAGCAGAGTGGGAGAGAGTGAGCAAGGTGGAGGTCAGTTTTAGAGTCTATTCTCTGATGCAACATCCCTTCTGAATTCTGTACGTTTGAAGCAAGTTGGTAGGTCCAGCACACACTGCAGGGGAGGGGATTACTCAAGGGCATGCCCTTCCCTCTCCTGTATGTTGGACTCCTACTGCTATCCCAGGGCTAATATCCATGACATAGGTTTCCATATCTCATACTGGCTTGTGGTTTTGTGTCCCAGGGTTTCTTGAAGTGGGCTTTGCTAACCCAATAAATCCTAATCACCCAAAAAGCTTGATAAAAATGCAGATATCCAGGCCTATCCTAATTCTACTAAATCTAGTGTGGGACCCAGAAACCTATATTTTAAATAAGCTTCCCATGTGATTCCTATGCACAATAAAGATAAAAAAAAAAAAAAAAAAAAACTGACCTAAACACTATTCCCTACTCAAGAAAAGTTCATAGCTAACTAGTATTTGTGAATGCTACACATCTGCTCTCTGACAGTCATGTTTTAGCAGTTGCTTTTTGGGGACAGTTCCTTAATCCAGTGTATCCTAATTAGTGGTAATTGTACCACTGGTGGGAGGCAAAATGGTTTAAGGTGAGCATGACCATTTAATATTTTAATAGTGGTGTTATCTTCAGGGTAACTTTCTATTTATGGCAAGTCACATTGGTTTTACTGCCTGGTGATAATATAGAGTTTCTTTAATAAATATGTTGTTGTAAAAAAGAAAAAGGAGTTGATTTGAAAAAACATATTAAGTAAGCAATGGTATAGGTGGTACACAGACATGGCAAAAACAATGACAGACATAATCAAACAGTTGAAGTTTGAGAAGCACTGTCCTAACCCAAAGGAAGGCACTCCGTGGCCTTAAGGTGTCATGGTAGAAAGTGGAGGAGATATTTGGGGGCAGAAAGGCCCTGCCCAGGTTAGTGAGGTTATTGCCTGCGTCTCTGTGAGGGGAAGACCCTGCTGATCAGGATCAATCATGAAGCTGGTCAGACTGAGCAAATGAGGCATGCCTTCAGATACATCTCTTGTGAATACAGAAAAGAAAGGGCCAGAGCAAAATATAATCACAAACTGGTGCAATCAGGTTGTGTAGAGGCACAGACTTATTCAATAACAGGACTGGTTCTCGGCAAAAATGAAATAAAGGTGAAGCCTTGTGTTGCCCCTGCTTCCACTGGGGCCCTCTCTTTGTTACTGCCATAGCGCCCTGCTCTTCTCCCTCCAACTCTTTCCTGCTTCCTTCTGTCCCACCCTGACCCCATCAGATGTAGCTCTCAGGGCTTTCATTTTTTCCGGAGCTGTAAATGACCTATGTTGTTCAAAGCATTGGTCTTCAAATTCTGTTGGACAGAGCATTCTACCATAAAAGTTACCTAATGGATATCTTTAATCCCTTTTTTCTTTATTTTTAGTTTTCAGTTTTCCTAATGTTAAATTTTCTTTAAAAAAAAATGGCAGTGACTTTTTAGTTATAGTTGATTATAATATCCTATAACCACTTTAATAAGATATATTAAAATGTTTTGATGTTCTTGAAAATTTGATTCAACATACAATACATTAAATAAGTGCTTTTTAAAAAAATTCACTATTCATTTGAGCTCTTAGGACTGCACTGCCTCGTATAGTAGCCATTCGCCTCAAGGCACTACTGAGCACTTAAAATGGGGTTAGCCTGAAGAGAGACGTGTTGTTGGTGTAAAATACACATTGAATTTCAAAAATGTACTATTAAAAAGAGAGAACATAAAATATATTATTAGTACTTTCAAGTACTGGTTGTGTGTTGGAATAATAGTATCTTGGTCATATTGTGTTAAAATATACAATAAAAATTAATTTCACTGTTTCTTTTTACCCATTTTAATGTGGATACTAGAAAATTAAAATTAGGTATGTGGCCCACACTATATTTCTATGATCAGCATTGCCTTAGAAAATACTGAGTTCAACTTGCAGTAGTTGCTGACACTAAGTGATTACAGGCTCTGAACCTCCCGACATCCTCCCAGTGCTAAAACACAAAATTATAACTCCTTGGTTCCTAACTTGGGTATTTAGGTCAATTCCCTCACCTCCTTTGTTAATATTAGTAGATTCTATTACAGGAAGATTGTCTTGGTCAAGCCTTATTTTTACAAAACCATACCTTATAATGAGACAACATAAAAAATGCATGAAAAAGTATTGGGATCAACTACAAAGTCAAAGAAGGACATAGAAGTATCAAGATATTGAAAAATGTTTACAACAGTCTTGATTCTTTCAGTTATTTTTTTTGTAGCTTATTGATGCGAATCTTCTAATCTTTTTAACTTGGCAAGTATGACCATCTTTTCTGGTGATATGTTTTCTTGTGAAGCTACTTTCTGCTGCTACTATGCACTATGCATTCAAAATCATAACTATCATCATTATGATTCAGTTCTTTAGTTTCCAGTCAATTAAAACCCACATGAACATAGAGAATCAGATCACATTGTGACTGGCCTGCTTTTTGTTTATCCAAATCTGAAATCAAAATAAATAACTTGGGGCCAGGCACGGTGGCTCATACCTGTAATCCCAGCACTTTGGGAGGCTGAGGCGGGTGGATTGCCTGAGGTCAGGAGTTTGAGACTAGCCTGGTCGACATGGTGAAACCCTGTCTCTACTAAAAATACAAAAAATAGCCGGGCATGGTGGCAGGTGCCTGTAATCCCAGCTACTGGGGAGGCTGAGGCAAGAGAATTGTTTGACTCTGGGAGGCGGAGGTTGCAGTGAGCCGAGATCGTGCCACTGTACTCCAGCCTGAGCGACTAAGCGAGACTCCGTCTCAAAAAATTATAATCATAATAAAAATAAATAAATAAATGAATAAATAACTTGGCATCTAGGGCTGTGTGTTTTCTTTTGACTATGCCATTAAACAGAATAGTATTAGCTTCAGGAACCTCTGTTGTCTCTCAGTGTTGTGCCTGCTTCTATTCCTAATTTTATTGGACAGTGTAGATGAACACTGGATGGAGGTGGATCTGTCTGTGTCTCCTTTCATTACTCTCCTCCTTTCCTTGGACCTTGGCTGGTCCTTGACATCATTTTCAGCTCTATCTGCTTTGCTTCCTTAATCCTCAGCCTGTCCCCAACCCCTGGTTGAGATATGAGTGAGAGTCACTCCAAGGCATTGTTCCAGCCCTATCCTGGCCCAAGCTTGTGACTGGTCCCAAACTCTAGCCCTAGCTTAGCTCCTACCTGCAGGCTTTATTCTTCCTACACTGTCAAAATTTCTTAAGTCACTTGATACCTGATGCTCCTTGTCAGCTGTGTTCTAGCAGTCAACAAAACCAGTAAACATATAGCAAATGGACACTTAAAATGTAGCATCATAATCTCTACAATCCTTCAAGAATTCTCCCAGATAATTAACTTCCTGGGATATTGAGCATGGCATATCATTTCTTATTTAACACACTTGAATATTAAAAACACAGGACAAATAATCTTGCTGCAAAATTGGGTTAAGATTTAATTAACAGAAAAAACTATAACACATGTACCAGACACTATGAGTTACTGCCTGTGAACACAGCATTTGAATATCTGAGTATCCTCTGTTGTGAAATCCATTCGCTTCACTCACAGCCTTTGCCATTTAAATGCTCTTTCAGAGCAGACTGCGAAACCATGAGGTGCACTTGCTTCTGTATTCAGGTTTCCTATATGTTCCTTACATTAGGAACAATATACGGTCTTTTAAGTTCCTACAGTGACCATTTAACTTGGTTGCATTAAGCTGTGATGGCTTTGCTTTGTGATTTCTGTAAAGCCATAATACCATTTGGCTGTTTAGCCTGGACTCTACCTGAGGCATGTGCCACAAGAAATCATCTTCAAAGTTGCCAGGGTGAAGGACTCTTGATTCTTTTTCACTGTGGCTGTCATCTTGCTTTTATCTTCAAAGAATCCTCCGGGAGCTTCTACTCAATTAGCTTTTCTTTGTCCTTCTATAGCATGCCCTTATTTGTCAATCAGTACCAACATAATATATAACATTCAATTTCTGATAATAAAATTATTTCTAGCTCAGATGCTTCATAATGATCACTATTACTCTTAAGTTTTCTGCCCCTCAAATTAGTCTGAGAACCCCTTTGTTGAAGCCATATCCTCTCCTGAGACATTGTGGCCAAAGGATTTAAATCTATTGATGAAATGTTAACATTGGCCAGCAGGAGAAAGAATTTGGAATGACTGGTATGAGTCTTTTTCAAGCTCTTAAAATTCTACCATCTACTTGTTTCCTTATTTGCTCCTTGCTCATTTATTCATTCAACAAATATTTATTTAGTACTTACTGTTGGACAAGCTCTGTTTCAGGAACTGGAAGTGTAGCAGCCTGGAAAAGGATTCAGAGCATTAAGGGCAACCTAGTACTGCTACCGTGGGGTGTGTGTTTGTGTGAGAGAGAGAGAATGAGAGAGAGAGAGAAAGAGAGAGAGAGCTTACTCTGCTGACATTATAGCAAAATTCCCCAAATTTTTTTGAAGACGAAATTAATAGTTTTCACAGAACGCCAGTTAATATCCTGGAAGAGTAGTCTGGGAAAGCACCCAGTCAGTCACTAATGCTGGTTCTTTCTAAAGTTGTCATTATCTATCCCTTTTTACTCCCACTGCTAATAACCTCGTCCTAGTCCCAACACTTCCTGGCTCATACCCAGGTCATTGCAGTAATTTTCCCACTGGTCTTCCAGTCTCAGTCTCTCTCACTGTGATCTATCCTTCATACTGTACAAATACTGGCAGTCTTTTGTTGAGCAATCTGCTTTAGTTGGAACCAAGGCTTGGAGAGATTAGCTGCCACTAACAAGGTCACCTAAGTAATAAGTGGCAGTGATGAGAATTCTATTATACTGGTGGTTTTCAAACTGTGATCTGTAGAACCCTGAAGTCCAAGCACATTCTCAAGTACTCTGAGGATTTCTAAATTTTGTGTTTTCATTTAAATCATAGTCCATTAACGGAGAGAATATTCTAAACCATCTAAATGACCTCTCATTGTTGAGAATTGGGATGCAATTTCTGTGTGTGTGTTTGTGCTTATTGTAATGTGGATGGTCTTCTGAGAATAAAAGTAGATTGAGGATTTTTTCAGCAGTGATTTCAAGAATCTTGATCTAGAAGAAGACTTTTTCATCTCTTCTAGCTCAAAGGAAATTTTTCATTATAATTGGTGGTTTTACTCTATTTCTTTGGGGTAGGATGAGCATAGATGGGTGATAAAAGTCTTGGGAACAGGTAAAGGAGAATCATTTTACTGTATCAGGTAAGCAAGAAATAGGACATAATCCATCTGCCAATTGCAGTCAACCAACAAGCAGCGCACTGGAAAAATCAGAAGTAAGAGTGTGAAGCCAAGTCACTTTTCATAGCTAAGTTTGTGAGGGCTAAAGGTGCAGGATTATTGGGCTAAATTTCTATCTAGATTCTCCAGTGACTGCAGACGCTTTTCTGAGCATTGGAAAGAGTTGCCAGGTGGGGATCCAATTAGTGCCTATGCTTGGGAATAAAACGGCTATTAAAGATCCTGAGAGTTTTTTAGGGACAGGTTATGGATGAGAACGGGAGGATAGAATGCAGGTCAGATAAACTCTTTTCTTTAGAAATCTGCCATTGGTGGATCTCTCTGCAGCAGGGAGAAGTGAAGAGTTCTCTAACCCTTTAGTCTTTCAGTGCCAAGCAGTGATTTTCAAATGTGGGCCAGGAGATGGGTTATATCAGAATTGTTAACAGTGCTGGTTAAAAATACAGTTCTCTGGAGCTGGATCAGATTCTCAGAATTTCTGGGAATGAGACTGGTCAGCTGTAATGTTCCATAAAATTCTTAAGCATGTAAAAAATTGAGATCTACTGGTCTAGGGACTTTTTCTGCAAGGTAGGGTGCAAATTGCTGGAAGGACTCTAAATTTTTTTTTTTTTTTTTTTTGAGATGCAGTCTTGCGCTTGTCATGCAGGTTGGAGTGCAGTGGCGGGATCTTGGCTCACTGCAACCTCCACCTCCCGGGTTCAAGCAATTCTCCCGCCTCGGCTTCCCAAGTAGTTGGGATTACAGGCACCTGCCACCATGCCCGGCTATTTTTTGTATTTTTAATAGAGATGTGGTTTTGCCATGTTAGCCAGGCTGATCTTGAACTCCTGACCTCAGGTGATCTGCCTGCCTCGGCCTCCCAAAGTGCTGGGATTATAGGCGTGAGCCACTGCCCCCAGCCAATTTTTTTTTTCTTAAACCCAGCCAAACTCTGCCAGAAAAGATGATTGCCTATTAGTGTGATAGGGTGTGCATGTTTTAAAATTTACTGCTGCATTGCATGGGCTAAAGTGTGGTTTTACTCAACTGATACTTCTTGGAAGTATAAATCTCCCTAGGAGAGATAATGGACTAAGTCCCTGCAAGTTAGAGTGAATGAGTTTCTTATGGAGAGCAGAAGGGAGTCAGGGCTCCTTGGTAGAGTCAGGGTTGAAGATATTGGAAGAATGCTCAAATTAAGAAAAAGATATTAAAAGGAAGGTTAGGGAAGTGAATTTCAAACTTCTTGGACTTGCCATTTGCTCCTACCTCTAAGGCCCTTTGCTTATTATCCCCATCATCTTTTCTAAACCTGACCCTTACATGCCTGAAGTTAGGGAAACTTTTTTCTTCACCAGCCCTTTTTAGATGTGTTTGGAATTTTGCCTAAACATGGTCTGCCAAGCGTGGCCTATGTTATTTTTAGTATCTCCTTTGCATATGTGCCCTGAGGAAGTGGGATCCTCCGTTCGTTCTTTCTTCTGATGAATATTTGATTGGCAACCTTAAAATTTTTCTTTGTGTTTAAATTATAAACTCACTGCAAGCACAAGGCACCTTTCAGAGTCTTTTAAACTACATGTCAATATGTGTTCTTGTAGAGCTATAATTACCTATTATTTCGTAGCTTTCTGAATTAAATATTCATTAAACAAAAGCTGAAAATGGTATTAAATCTATACAAGATTTTTAATGTGCAAAAATTACTAATCAGTATATTAATATACCTTCATCAGGGTTCACTTAGGTAGCAAGGAAGGACCCTATATTTTTTAATAATGCTTTGTTTTTTAAAAGTCATTCACATTTACAGAACAATGCACATTTTCACAGAATTCTGACTTATTATGTGACTAAGGGAGTTACTAAATGTAAATGAGAAATAATTTCACTGTACTGTCTTTGAAGAAAGGATGATTTTTAAATAAAAATGGAAGTTTCCCACTTTTGCCAATAATCAGAGTTGACATCACTAGTGAAAGGGATATCTACATTGCATAGATATGGGCAGAAGAGCTGCCCTCTGATTCTAGGAGCATGGAAGATCCTGTTAGAATTCACCAGTGCAGACCATTCCCATTCATCCTGAGGTATTCTGGGGTGAAGAGAGTTGAAGTTACTCACAAGCCAGCACTTTTACCATCCATTCAGACCTACATATCCTAAGAAAAGAATATCTCTAATACAATCAACCATTTCATTAAAATCTTTTTATCCAGCTAATACATGAAACTTGAATTTTAAAAAGGATTATGGAGAAAGCCTTGTAAAAGAAGCAGGTTGTCTTATCTTACTCCATTTCCACTTGGCAGAGGCAACTACCTTTTTATTTTATTGTACTGTTTAAGTTCTGGGGTACATGTACAGGACGTGCAGGTTTGTGACACAGGGAAATGTGTGTCATGGTGGTTTGTTGCACCTGTCAACCCATTACCTAGGTATTAAGCCCAGCATGCATTAGCAGAGACAACCATCTTTAAGTGACAATGTTTTTAGGGTTTTGATAGTTACCTTTCTATTTCTAAATAGTACACTTGTCCTGCTAATTTTTGACTGGTAACTTTAGGATATTATCTGTTGATTCTCTCCTGTCAAATATGAGTATTGCACTATTCTTGCCCACTTCTCCTTCTAAGTTTTAATGCAATTATTGTTAGTTCTGTTGATTTCCTTTGTTGAACCTTTAAAGAATATTATTAAATTTTCTTTTTTTTTTTTGGTTCCATCAAATTTGGACCTTGCCTCTTAATACCCATCATTTAGGTGAGGATTTTAGCACACTTACTCTTCCTCTATTTTTTCTTCCTCCTTTTCACTCTATGAAGTTTCTGCTCTTGGATTCCATTGACATTATCCATATTGCTCAATGTTTGTCATTATGCTAAACTTCTGTTTACTTGTACTAGCTAGAGTGGGTCTTTGTTCTTTAGAACCTAAAGGTTCATATTGAAATGATTTGAATCGTATTTATATAATTAAATATCTTTGTCTTCTTAGGTACCCTGATGCTATCATGAGCATTTTTCAGTATCTTTATTTTTAGACCACATCCTTCATGGTTGCATATTGTTCTACTTTCTTAGGAATGCACTGAAGCTTGGCTTTGCTTTTACGTTTAGCCAGAATATGCTATTCAGCTTTGGTTCGGGTTTAGTCTTTGGAAGCTCAGATAGATTAATGCCTGCTTCAGTGTCATTTCTGACATTTTGAATGTTGGTGTGAGCAGCGATTTTAAAATTATTTAGTTTACCACCACCAAATATCAGTGTAAAAATTTCTGTTAAATGAATGCATTGTGCTATTTGGATTTGTTGTAGATATTGGAGTATCAGAATATTAGGCTATTCAAATATAGGTAAGTTTTATTCTAGATGTAACTTGGAATTAAAAAATCCTTTTGTGTGTTTTATTCATTTAAATGTCTTAGTCAAATGAAGTGTAAATGTGCATTTGTTATTGTAAGAGTAAAATCCTGCAATAATTAACATGATTGTGAAACTATTCATTTTATATATAAAATTACTATGAACTTTTGAATAATAAATAGGGAAAGAATGCAGATTAATAAGCATAATGAGAGAATACATTGAGTAGATTACTTTAGAAAAAACCCTATACTTCAGAGCCTAAAATATTTATAACATTAAATTAATTATAACAAAAAGAAAAAAACAGAATAGATGACATAATTATAATCTTTATAGAATTATTTGGTGTTCTAAAATGCACAACATTAAGCAAAGTAACCTTCAGGAACTGCTTTTAGTTATCTAATTCCATTTAGGTTATGAGTTGTTCAAGAAAAGGTTCTATTTTTCCAAATTCTTCACATTTTATGCAAATGATTAAAGAGCAGAATGTCAATTTTACTCCCTTGAAATGTCACGAAGAGAAAAACTCCAAATCATAAAAAACAAAAGTCATCATAAATTGTCTTCATTCCAGACATATTATTAGCCAATACTTAAATTACACTTATTATGAGCCAGGCACTGTTCTACGTGTTCTTTCTATGTTAACCCATTTACTTCTCCCAACAGTCCCATGAGGTCTGGCCATTATCCGCTCATTCTACAGATGAAGAGCTAAGGTACAGAAAGGTTAAGTTATTTGTCCAAGGTCACATGGCTAGTAAGTGGTAGTGCAGGACTTGAAGCCAGG